GCGACCTCAGCCGCGCGACCAGCTCGCTCTGCTGCTGCACCTGGGGTGGGGGGCGTCGTCAGGACCTCTCGTGGACCCCCGCCTCACAAGACTCTGGTCGACGAAACTGACCTCCCTCTGTAAGTTCCCCTTTTCACTCTTCCACTGCTGTTCGCTTTCATGGAGCTGCTTGCGCCCGTGTGCCTTGTCCTCGAGCCACCGCTCTCGCTCGGCCTGCACAGCAGGGTTGACTCAGGAAGGTAGGAAGGGCCAGAATAGTCAGGTACCGGATGGTGGCCGCTCACCTCCAGGCTCTCAATCTTGGACTGAGCGCGCGCCAGCTTCTGCTGCCACTCTTCCGACTCGCGCTCCTTTTCGCGCAGCGCGTGCTGCGCCTGCGCGTGTGCGGTAGTGTAGTCCCTGACCATGACCTGCGACACGACGTGGGCGGCGTCAAGCTCCTTGAGCACCATGCGGCATTTGTTCTCCCAGAAGAGGACCGCTGTTGTGGCCTGTAGCAGGCAAGATACATGGAGTTCGCTTTATTTCATAAAATAAATGCTATGCTTTCTGCGTCGAGATAGTCCCACCCACCGCGTCGCCATGTGCCTGGGCAAACCCTCCCGGGTCCTCTGGTCGTTGTAGGCAGTTGAGCAGCGCCTGGAAGGGAATGCCAGTCCTTTCAGCTCTTTCAGTCGACAGGGAAGCGAGGGGAAGCGCACCAAGTCATTGAATACCATCACCACCATGAGAGGGACGAGGCTGCCCAGGCCGCCGCCACGAGCAGGTTGCTAGGGTAACGCCTCTCTATAGTGTGTTTTGAGCCTGAGTCAGTAGTCAGTGGCCACATATTGAATGATACGAAGATACGAATGTGGGACAAAGACAAACCACTTTAGTTTGAAAATTTGAAAAACAAATGAACTATAAGAAACCATTTTGAAAATCTAAGCATTTCCTCAGATACGAGGGTAGAATCCTGACCCACCTTACGCCCCAAGGGGTTGGGTGGAGAAGGAGTGCTCGTGTTGAGGAGTATTTTTACAATACTTGAGGTCACAGACGAACCGTAGGGCCGTAAAAGGAAGTAAAAGTGAGCGCCTGGTTGGTAGGTGGTCCTAACAATAAGGGTTGGCCTTGTTTAAAGAAAGGGTGCTAGTCACCCTGCCATATACTCAGTTTAGTTCCCAGGTTTAAATCTCAGGAAGTGCCTTAATGTTAGGCATGATTTGTGGCAGGCCATGTT